GGGGGGGGGGGGTCAAGATGTACCTTAAGAATCCCCGCTGTGGTGAGAGAGATCCCCCCTCCGGCTGTAATACACGCATTTCCCAATCGTGTCCCGCTCGCCGACACATCGGGAATTAGTTTCGGCGAAATTCGATATCGGGAACTCTCGCAGTATCCGGGTGCTCGCGCGGGAGAAGAGTGCGCGTCGCAGGCTGTCGCGCAAATCCCCGAGTATAGCTGAGAGCCATGCGCCGGAGATATTTGCGGACGAGTTCGTAATGCTTTCGCGAAAAATACAGAAACCCCCGGCTGGCAACCCACCACCACCCCCTTCCCACCTCTCTTGTTCCTCTCTCATCCCTCCTCTCCTCCCCCGCACCCGGTTACCCCGGCCGTCCCTGTATCGATTTCTGTCCGATGGAGTATCGCGATACTCGCCCTCTCACCACCTCTCGCGCGCTCTTCTCTCACTCTCTCTCCCCATCCCCGATCGCCTCTCTTTGTGACTCGTCCCTTCCTCCCCCCCCTTGCCGCGGCCATCCCGCGTTCAACCTCTCTCGCTCTCTCTTTCTCTCTCTCTCTCTCTCTCTCTCTCTCTCTCTTTTGCTTCTCCTCCAGTGTCCGCGTGTCCCTGTATCGCGATTTTCAATAGCGTGCGCACACACACGCGATGTGAAGGTGGACATCCGGGAGAGGACGGATCATTACTTTGACGCCGATTTTCTTCTCCAGCACCTTCCCACGATGTTTCCGTGATCGTGCGCGATACCTTGAGACGGAGATTCGCGAAGAGAAAAATAATACGGTGCGGAGGGGGGGACGTTTCGGAAAATATTCATATTCAGGCATCGCGGTAGCGAGCGATTGCAATTATTTGACGCGGAGATTCGATTTCGAGAGATTTCGGAGAACGCCGGTTGTTGACGGTCGCACCGCGAATGCAGCTTAATTTCGCGTGATCGTTACCGGATAGCGGAAACGCCGCGCAATGAAATGATAATGTGCAATGGGCGCGCAACTCGACTAAAATCTAGATCAACGTAAAAGTACGCAACGCGCGCGCACGTGCAGATATACGCGTGCGGCACTCATTTATCACTGCATCCGGAGTAGCGTGCGAATCGTTCGCCAGTTGGATAGAATTATTTATCTCGAAATGAAGGCTGCCGAGAGCGGTGGGTCGAGCGGGATGGATAGGCAGCAGCATGACATAGTGCGTTACTGATTTTTGTTTTATCATCAAAAGATACAACGTTCGCGTGCTATGACGTGCGCGGGCTAACATGCTCGCACGAGGTCATCGACGCGATTGGCGACCGGTATTCCGTCGTAATGGATCAAATAAATAGTGATGAATAACGGGACCGGATTTTTTGTCCCGGATTGACATGAAAAAAAATGTAATACGTATATATATTTTTAATAAAAAAAAAAGTTATGTATACAAAAAGAACAACTCGTTATTGACGATGAACGATGTGTCAATGCTGCTACTGTTGCGTTAAATAAAAAAGGACAAGAGCGGGGAAAGTTGAATCGAAGTAACATCAGAGATGTTTTACACGACCGCAAGAAAGGAGAAAAAGAAGTGAATACGCAATATTCCCTCGAGAAATTCCTCGGATAATAGCCATTCGATCCTGTTATGTCATCAATAAATGTTTCCGAGATTAAATGGTACTTTTGACACACCATAGTTTACGCGTATCCGCAACCGGATCTCGCACGGTCTACCCGATATATGTTACAGTGCGACTGCACTGCGCGCTGAGTTCATTCTATCGGCGCTCGGCGCAACCGTTCCAATAAATAGTTCTGATAAAGAGTCCCGCGCTGCTACCTCACACGTAAGCCCTTGTACTTTTATGGCTATTATTTTTCGAAATCATTCTCAACTTCCCCCTCCGCCGTATCCTTTTCCTTCGCTTTATCGGGGAGAAGGCGTGCGTTATACGCGAGTCGCCCCCGCGATTACAAAGAGCCGCAGATTAAATTTATCACGAATGCGGAAACCCGATGAAAGACACCGCGAAGATTAGCGCGTCGTGAATATTATATTAAAGCCATCATGCGAGGGATTCGTACCTCTTGTCTGCTACGTCTCTCGCTAATGTTTTTGATATTATTTATACAGCGTGGCTGTCACCACGGCGAAAAACTCGTATCTCGGCGTGGCCGTGCGTCGCACACTTCTCTGCGCTATTCGCAAAAAACAAAAAGGGGCGTGGAGAGAGAGAAAGAGAGAGAGAGAGAGAGAGAGAGAGAGAAGGCACGAAAAAAAACAGCCGAATGGTTTCGATGCACCTAGTTACGTCGTAAAAGCGGATGCAGCGCGTTGCATTTTGACCATTCGATTTCGACAAAATCGATTTTGTAGCAGCAACGGCCACGCCATCGGCCACCACACTACACCACACCACACCACACCACATCACACCACACCACACTGCACCAGTGACGTCCGGATTTTAGCGAGCCACGGGACCGCACAGGGCGCGTTGCCAGGGCCGCTAAAATATGTGCTTAATATTTACTCCAGACCGCATGGTGAAACGTATGGCTGTCAGGCAAAACAGATTTCATTATTAAGAACATCGACGATCGAACGGCGCTCACGGCAGGGACATATTGGCAGCTGTGTTGTCGAAGTGGTGGTCGAGGGTGTAGAGAGACGGTTGCGCTAATCATATACCGTTAAATTCGTTTTACCTTTCGCGCGCGCATGCAATTTGATAAGATCTTTTGTAACAAAAAGGTTTTTTGTAACAAAATCTCGTGATTACTTCTTTCTTAACATCTTGAAAATAAGTATGCACGATAAAAGTATCAATGTCTGGACGTTAATAACATTGATACTTAACTTTGTTTACATTCTGATCGTTTGGGTCTTGAAAATATACGAATATTAGAATTTTCAAAGTAGAACATATGTGTACGTATTCAATAATGCATGTATATATATTCTGTATGTTGAAAGTGTTTAAATTATATTCGTAGAATAATATTATTGAAAAAGAACTAAAATTTCGAAAAAAATACTAGCTTGAAATTGTTCAATTATTTGATTCAATTATTATTTAACTTAGTGTCCAAAATTTCTTATAAAATATTCGTATCTAGAAACCAAAACGATGAAAATGTCCAGAGTTAGATGTCTGGTGTTATTAATGTCCAGACATTGCTACTTTCACTTTAATGAACGTGATATATTTCCGAACAAAGTTGAATGAACCGCCGATATTTTCTGACCGATCATTCACTGACGTGGCTATCCCACTACTGGCTATACGATTTTGTACCAACCAGAAAGCGAATCGATGTGAGGTATGATGCTATCAATATGAGATCACCGTCCGATAGGATATGAGAACCGAATAGCGGATCTGAACAATGGGAATGAAA